ACTTCGTTCTTTTTCATTCTCAATTTGAAGAAGTTTGTTTCTCCCCAAGATAAATTCAAATGCCTAAACTATATATTCTTTTGATTTTTGCTAGCTTATATTGGTATTAATAAAAAGCCAAATTAAATTGAAGGCTAAAACAAGTCTACTAACTCATAAAAATTAACTTAAGATCGATAATGGACTCCTCTAGAAAATTAAATCGGACAAATTATATTTTTTTTTTATTACAAAGGAAGGGGAACACCCATATATACACAATATTCGCCTACACTGAGGCTCAAACACTAAACCTCCCACATAAGAGACCAACTCAGATACCCGTGGACAAATTATATTTGAGTCCATGTCTAGGAGAGGAAAGAGGACAAAAAGCACAGCCAGGAAGTTTTTTTTTTTTTTTTTTTTTTGAAAGTGCACAGCCAGGAAGTGGAATCTTTACACCCACACATATCAGACTACTGCACTTGAAAATTTTTACTCGGATCTCACTTTCTTTGAATTGTCTAACTACAACTTGTAGTCAGATCATTTTTCTTTATCTCCTTGACTAACGTAGAGTCTCCATTAATGATTTTTAAAAATTTTATTTATAAACACGTACTATCATAACACGTACATCTAGATCTGACAAACAAAAACACAGCAGAAATCTTTGAAGACAAAGAATCAAAAATCACGAAAACAAAAAATCAAAACTGAGTTTAGTTTCAAAAGCTAAGCACGATTAATTCAACTTTAATTTAATTAATCAACAAAAATTTAGGTTGCTTTACCTGTCGGAATTTGATGTCGGGATGCCATGAACCTCGGCTGTGTTTCTCCATTTCCTTCTTTGATCGGTTGTTTCCAGACAAACCCTCCATTTTCTTCAGAAAAGCAAAACAAAAAGCAAAGAAGAATTCTGGCCTTAGTCTTTTTTGCTTCAGAAAAACCCCAAAACAAAAACGTATGTTTCGAATGAGCGGATTAAGCTAAGGTGATATATATCTTGTAGCAAATGGATTAATGGAAGCTCAACACCACCATATATATACCATAAAACCTGAGGATCACTTTTGCTATTGGAACTTAACGTGACTAGCTAGCTTGAGAGTTGATGGTATTGGGTCTTAGAATTCATATAAAGATTTAGTGAGGTCAATAATATAGATGATTGAATTCATTAATTTTAATAAACAATAATAGTAAATATGTATATATATTCCTAATAAAATTATGAAAATTAATTACTTTTTTTAAAATACGGAGTACTAATTAAGAGTTCGAGATTTTCATGTATAATAATATATTAATTACTTCCATATATGAATATATAGTAATAGTTATTATATATTAATTACTATAATATAATGCTATTGTTATTACATTACTATATAAATATATTTTTGATGGATGTATTATGACCGGAGCTAACCGACCCGTAGAGGTGGAGCAAGACTCGGAGTCCCGACCCAGGAGGTCTCGGCCCCTGGGCCTCGACCCAATAGGCTTCGGCCTAGTACAAGTGTCGACCATAAATGTGGTCGGCCTTAGGGGGGTTCGGCCATAAAAAGGCCGACCCGGGAATCCGTCAACCCGGGACGCGGTCAGCGCGGATCTAACCACCCCCCACCTTAGGGGTGGCGGTTAGGGGTGGGGGTTGTATAACCCCCCCCCCCCCCCCCCCCCCCCCCCCACACACACACACACACACACACCTTGTCTCTTTAGGACATCTTATCATCATCTCACATACTTTGTACTAAAGCAAACATTGTAATAGTCTATTCACGGCACTTAATATAATATACGGTCTTCACGACCTGTTACGACATCGTTTCGCTACATTTACTTATTTTATACTACGTTCTTATCCGGGTTTAATGATTCGGGTCCACCCCGGGTGAATTAAATCCATCAATTTTATAAGCATATCATATGAGAATTTTATTCAATTTGTTAAATTATTATTAGCAATTTATTAACTTTTTGTTAATTTTAACGTATTTTTCTTTAATCTTCGCACATAAATCATAATTCGATATTTATAAGGGCCGAAATAATTCACCTAACAAAATTAGCTACTCAATAATTAACGCGTTTTTCACTATTCACTGATTTTTTAAATATTTTTTGGTACTCTTTTGTAAGCTAAATGTGCTTTAGTGTAATAATATATAATTTACTAACATCGCTCCTATATAACTTGTTCAATTGATAATAATATGATTAAAGTTATTTTATTCCTCCGTGTAAAAGCATATGTCATTGGGACCACTTATTTATGTTGTATTACCCTTTTTGAAAAATAATATTTATAATTTCAATAAATGTACATCGTAATATCATTAAAGTCATATTATTCATCTATCCGTTGTAAAAGCATATGTCATGGGAGCACTTGTCGGTGTTGTACTATCTACCGTTTTTATGAACGTATTTATGTAGTCAATGTTGTTGTAGTGCTTGACTTGCTTTGGATTATGATAAGATTATGCATTAGTTTTTAATAAGATTATGATAATAAATTACTTGATTCTTAAGAGTTTGATAACAATAATTATCAACTGTCTAATTGTCTAAATATAGTCCAGTCAAAGTGGGCTAACCCGTCAAACAACGGACTTAAATTTTTTATAAATTTTTGCAAATTGGACTACAAAACTCGCAAGCTGGGTTCAAGTAATTCTAACCCACCCCATGCAGGTTGGCGGGCTCCACGGGTTGGACAGATATGGTTAACTTAAAAAAAAAAAAAAAAAAAGTATTCGTAACAATTAAAATAATGATTCGTAAATAATCATAAAATTCTTTTTAAAGAATAAAAAAATACTCCGTAATAAATACATCACACACACACGTAATATGATAAATTAATTCATATTTAAATTGTTATTTTACATTCATATAAAGAGAAAATGGTCAAATAGGCCCCTAAATTTTACTCCAAAGGTCAATTATGCCCCTAAGTTTTACAAAAGTGTAATTGAACCCTCAATCGTGTCAAATTGGGTCAATGAAACCCAAAAACCGGTAAATGACTTGTTATTACAGGTCATTTCAATTTCTATGTAATTTTATCTTTTAATTTTTGAAATCTAGTTCTCTAATTATCCTAAAAATTGTAAATTTAGTCGTAGATTTATACGCTTGATTATGAAATAATTAGAGAATTAGATTTAAAAAAAAAAAAATTAAAAGAAGGAATCACCTGATGATTTGAAAACACTTGAATGCCGCCCACAATTATGATTTTTTTAATTAAAAAGGAAAAAATAAAATTTCCATACATAAATAATAAATGTATTACTAATCTAATTTGGGTGCTGCATGACATTAACACCGACCCTATATTCGACCATAAATTTGAAATTACTTTCCTAATATAAATTAAATTTAATAAATCTCAAAATTTAACGTAAAAAATAAATTTGAATCCTAAACAGATTGGGACAATAAGTCAATAACGCGTTTGGACAAGATTATATTATCTTCCCTATATAAGAGCCGCCCAACCGCTCTTTCTTTGCTCAATTCATTGCGTTAAAACTTCCAGAGCTTCAAGTTTCTTGCGAGACAAGCAATAATGGCGTCTCAGACCGAGATCGTGGAGAGTCTCAACCTTCGCATGTTTAGGTGGAGAGAGAGTATGTTGCTGGATCGCTTCTCCAAATGCGGCGTTCTCGTATTCCGGATGAAGCGGACGACTGTTGTTTCTGTGTCGGAAACCTCCGTTTTCGAGGAATCCGATGTGCAGCTTTTCGATCTCGTTTCGCACTCGGAGCACTTGCAACAGATGATCTACGCCGCCGTTGTCGCCACCGGGTTCTTTCTCCCGGAAACCGCGCCGTTCTTGGCGGAGGCGGTTTCGGATTGCTTGAGAACTAGGTTTAATGTCTGTCAAGAAACCTTGCTGTATCTCGGGAAATCCAAGGTTGTTATCGTTGTCGATGTGGAGGCGGAAAGGGTTGGGGGGAAAAAGGGTTTTCGAATGTCGAACCAACACAATCGTTTGTACGAGGGATTACTGTGCTACAAGGGTGATATGGATGAAGAAGATGAAGATGAAGAAAGGGGTCTGATGATTTCTGTGAATGAAGTTGAGGAGATGATGAAAAGGGATTCTGATGATGATGAGAAAACGTTTGTTGTGGATGTGTTTGGAGATTACTATGACGATGATTGTGCCGAGATTATATATTCGATGATGAATTCTCTGAGCAAGACAGCGGATTTTCTTAGACAAGGTTGTGTTATTTCTTATGAGTTTCAAGAATTTCAAGAAGTGAAAGGTGGATTGAAGATGGAGTAGTGAAGGGCTAGTTTCTGAATAACTTTCTTCATTCAATTTTAGGAAACTTGTAATATTTGTCTTTAAATTTTGAATAGCCATTTATTTGTTATGTTTACTGCATTAATGGCCAGTAAAAAACCAATGTCTTTTGTTGAAATTGATGTTATGATATGTTACTGCCCTTTCAATTTTGAATACCAATTTATTTGTTCTGTTGATTACTGCTGTTGGTGTATATATACACACACGCACACACATATGATAGGTCGGGTGTGGTTCTAAACGGATTTTGTATATAAAATCAGAATTCATTCTGACTCACGATGAATTTATTTTTTTAAGACTCATTCCGACCTACCACTCACTATTACAAAAAAAAAAACTCGTCCTATGTAGGGTGGATAAATTTTAATTATAGATCTTTTGCAAGGTTGAAATCAATATATATATATATATATATATATATATATATATAGTTGCAATATAATGGTTGGTGGATATGATGAAGCTTTGAGTTCAACAACCTGTCTTTATGGTAAAGAAAAGAATGTTTTTGCAGGTGTAACAAGACAGTGATAGAATAATGATTGAAAAGATTACTTTATTATTACAAAGGATTACCATTTTTCTAAGGCTCCTTAACCTAAACCCATGTAGATTCCTTGTTGACACAAAGGAGTTTCCTTTTCTGCAGACATTGAAATATATCTGTCTTCCCATAATGTTCCATTCTCAGATCAACTACAAAAGTCACAAACCTGAAAATTCCACTTTCTGATAGATCAACTACTTTTCATTACAATTAAGGGAATCATTCATAGTTCATAAATCTGGGTACCTCTCATTCCTCCGGATTAATGTCTGGGCAGGTGATGATGATTTCCAACATCTTATTACATACCCCTCACATTCATCTGTTTTATATATTCCTTAGCTTCAAAATCTTAAAATCATTCAAGAATTTCAATCCTAGCTGTCTTTAATTTGCTGCAATAACAGGTCTGCTGCATGGAGCTGCGGATCTACCTGGACTGCCCGGCATGTTGCAGGAAGATGAAGAGAGTCCTTCTGAGAATGAAAGGTAATTTTTTTACTGTACTTATTACCTCTACGCTCTGATATCACTTGTTAGGAATAAACGCTTACCATTATACCAAAAGTTATAGCTAGTAGTAAAAGAGCAACTTTATTTCTTTAATTTATACCACCACATTTTCCAGAGGCATGTGCTGGACTTGACCCTTTAAACTTTTAGTTGAGACAGAACACATCTATCATCAATCTGTACTAGTGTTTCAGTTTGAAAACTAACTGAGAATGTATTTTTCCATCCTGGTGAAGAAATAGAGCAGCACATGATAGAGAGGCAAAGCTGCAGAGTGAGTGTTTGTGGCAGATTTGATCCTGGAGATGTGGCTATAAAGATCAGGAAGAAAATGAACCGCCGGGTTGAGATTCTTGATGTTCAGATATTCAACAACCACGATGGCCAACCCGAGTAATCGCCCCGAGCCACCATCCATGTCGTCGAGCCGCCTGGATATAACATATTCTCATGCATATATGCAGGGCTGTCACCTTAGAAAGCATTCCCAGGGAGGGAAAAGGCTGCAGTATTTGTTACAGTGACAGACAAACAGGAACTATACATAGTACTTCGTAGTTTTTAAGGTAAAGGTTTATGATCTTCTGTGTTTTTTTTAGGTGTATATATGTATTTGTAGAGACTAGGAAAGGAGGGCATTCTTATGCAGATCAGTAATAGAAGACTGGTGATTTAGTTTTCCTCTAGATGTAAATAATGCAATCATGTATAACTATGATTGGATTTTAGTTCTTTGGTTTATGAATGTTTCATCTAATATGGAACAATTTTAAATTTAATTAAATTGTAAATATTAAAGTGTGAAGTGCTGATCACTCAAAACTAGTAATGATTAATGAAAGCATTCAAACCAGTTGCAGGGAAATTACAAGCTGGATGGTGAGAATTTTGGTTGAAGTTGAAAAAAAAAAAATTAATTCTTCCCAAGTTTGATTTTATATGTTGTCTATAAATCAAATGGGTGATTTAACAAAAAATTAAATTAAATAAATAAATAAAACGAAGTTGATTTTTATTACAAAGGAAGGGGATACCCCGATCAAATACCGGTGGACCACAAGAGTGAGATAATTACAATGGGGTTTGGGTAAATTAATTTAAGATAGATATGAATAAGACAACACGAAAGAATAAGAGAATGTTTTTTTGCTATTAACCAATACTCGTTAAGGATGACCTTGTTGGATTGAGATCATTTTGCCTAAGTCATCACAAGATAAATTGCCCCAATTCCGGTTCGACAGAACAGAGCATTTGAAAAGATGTAAATTACAGTGATTTAATGGCTAGCAGGCAGGACCAAATACCAGGTAGGCATAATCCTTACACTGTCCCGAGGTTCAAACCTTGGTCTCTCCTCCCAAATATTACATACTGAATCAATGAGCTAAGTCCATGCAGGTACCTTATTTTGGTTTTAAAAAAATCATATTTGGCAACAAATATAAATTATAATTCATATCCATATAATTGTAAAAATAAATTATAAATCCGAAATATTTTTATACAAAATTTATGGACTTTAGAAAAAAAAAATAAAAAAATAAAGCACTTTTGTATTTTTATTCATTAAATTAATTAGTGATAGGAAAAATTGCATTTTTCGTCCCTAAGTTATAGGATAATTGTAGAATTCGTCTCTGAGTATTGGTCATGCTCACTTTTCATCCCTAAGTTATTATTAGCATTGCACTTTTCATCCTTTCGTGCTCACTTTTCGTCCCTGAGTTATACTAAAATTGCAAATTTCGTCCCTAATGTTTTGTTAATAAAGGGACAAAAAGTGCAACGTCAATGATAACTTAGGGAGAAAAAGTGAGTATGACCAACACTTAGGGATGAAATCTACAATTACCCTACAACTTAAGGACGAAAAGCGCAATTTTCCCTTATTGGTATAAATTAAAAACAATTAATGTTTTCCTACATGACGATTTTAGATAAAAATTTATTTAAAGCATTAATGTATTTTTATTCATTAATGGTATAAATTAAAATGATTTAAAGTTTTCCTTAATAGCCCTCTATATAATGGTATATATTCGAACAAATTAATGTTATTATTTTTAACAATGTATTAATTGACAATTAGCATTCAAAAAAAAAAGTATTAATTGACAATTAATTTTCACTACACAATAAATATAAACAAACCAAATACTTATAAATGCATATATAAATTGAAATAAAATAAAATCCATTAAATGAAAATTAAACTAGTGATGAACTTCCATAACCGACAATATGATAAATATAAATTTTATGTTCTTCGTTCATATATGAATAGTACGATAAGGGTAGACAAATAGATGGTTGCTATTAATGAATGCGCTAGAAGGAGGGCTTGAACCTCCAACCTTGTGGTTAACAGCCACACATTCTAACCAACTGAGCTATTTCAGCTGTAATATTTGCATATTGTAGTCAGTGCTGACATTAGCCTGTTTGGTAAAATAGTTAGCCTATCAGTAAATTTTGACTTGTTTGATTTGGTTAAACAATCAATATAAGTGTTTCGTTAATTAATTTTTTGTAACAGCTTATTGCTCCAAAAGGCTAAAATTCAAAAAGCTTCTCAAAGTAGCTTTTTCAATTAGTTTTTTGTGAAAGTAATTTTTTATATAATTAGCTATCAGTTAACAGCTAATTTACCAAACATCTTTCTATAATCAATCAATATTATCAACTAATCAAACTCACGAACTCAATTAGCTAACAGCTATCAGCCAACAATTATTTACCAAACACCTCATCATTAAGAATACTTTTACATAATGGCGACAAAGACCTTCAAGGAAAATGAGAGATTGACATATCGTAACGAGGATTCAAGTGAATTGCAATTTTGAATTGAAATCTAATCTAACCCTATTTTGAGTGGAGAGAAATTTAGAAAGCGAAAATATCAAAACACTACTGGAAATTATGGAATTTCCGACCAACTGAAAGTGATCTTAAATCAAGTCGAAAGTGACCACTTTTGGTATCCGGAAAAAACATTGTTGCTATTTCCGACCACTTTTTGGTATCAACTTGATTTAAGATCACTTTCAGGTGGTCGGAAATTCCATAATTTTCAGTAGTGAAAGCCCCATAAAAATAATTTCGAACCCCTTTCATAGTTGTTGGAGTTGCGCCTCATTACAAAATATTGGACCACTCACGATCCACCTCTCGGTCATGAGTCCAATTGTGACGGTTTTACTCTGCGCAACAGTTCTAATTTCTAACTCATTTTTCACCCTGTAAAGTATATGTAATTGAAACATTTTTTTAATTTTTGATTTTTTTTCCATAAAATCCAATCATATTACTTACATGGTATGTACTAAAAATCATCATTTCCCATATCATACTAGTTTGGATGAAAGATTAAAAAGTTTTCAACTTAAATTACATTTAAAAAAAAAATCATAAAACTTTCCAATTATACATATTTTGCTTTCTTAATGATTTGATTGCATACTTTTTAAATTCAATGACTCAATTACACACAAACAATACTTTACCTATTTGACAATGATTCCCAATTGATTTGTAGTTTTAATGAGAGGAAACATACAATTTTTTTTTTGTTTCCTTTTAATGAAATCAAAATATGTTACTAAACATTTTTTAATAGTAAATATTATTACTTTTTTTTTTTAAAGGCAAACATTACCATTATGCAACGATAATTTATATGGACCAACTTCATTGTAAGATTCTGATGAACTTTCCCATGGCGGCAAGCACAAGAAGCGGAACAGAGACACAGAGCAGAAGCAGAGCTTCATGCGGCGACAGTTTCATCATCAAACACATGTACGATCCGAACCAAGAACACACCGATATCTGCGGCCACGGTTTCAGCGGCAAATGATGCAGCACCGACATGATAACCGCCACGGAAGCTATGAATCCGGTGGAATTTAACACCACGAAGGGGCCGGCGAGGCTCGAGTAATAATCCCTCGCCGTCTCACTGTCCTGGGAAACCACGCCGGCGAAGGAGCACGCGGCGAAGAACGTCGCGGCCGCCGTCAGCATCGCCATGATTAGGATCGGATTTTCCTGTTTGAAGTTCACGGCGGCGTCCCGGCATTTTGCTTCGCCGGGAGGGGGCCAACGGAAACCCCTCCCGGAACCCTCCGCCGCCTTTGAACTCTGTTTTGCCGGATCGTTTATAGTAATATTTGTCAGGGCTGGAAATGTAGGAGGAGGTGGAGTTGGAGCAAGCATGGCTTTTATTGATCTCACGATGTTACTTGATTCAGCAGAAATTAAAACAGAAATCTGCATTCATAATTAATGATGTCATAGTGGATCAAATCTACGGGTCAATGTCCCGCGGTCCAGCGGGTTAGGGCCTAAAATTTTTCTCTCAACGGTATATATATAGTCTAATGTTACAGTGAGACCACATTTTTTCGTAAAATTCTTTATAAATGCACACAAGTTATTACATAAAAATGCATACAGATATATTATGTGCATTCATATTGGGCAAATTACACACAATCTAGTCTATGTGCATTCGTGTAATCATTTTTGTGCGTTTATGAAAGATATCAGAGGAAGATATGCTCTTATTTGATTATTATACTATATATATAACACTAAAAAACTAAAATATTGTAATAAATTTATTTTTTTTAATTCTAAAGTTGGCTCGTGGGCTAGGGTTGAAGAATTCTAGCTCGCAGGCCGGTATGCAAAGACTTGCAAAAATTACAACTCATAATGGGACGGACTAGCCCGCAGTGGGACGGACTAGCCCGCATTGACACCCTTATTCATAATCATAATTAATCACTCTATTTACGGAGGTCTGAAGGGTTACGTCCAACACCATGTAGGCATGTAGCTAGGGGATTGTTGGTAGAGGTTTGAAGGGCCAAGTCCGAGAAATTGTTAGGCAAAGGCCTGAAAAGTTAAATCCAACGCCAAGTGGCTAGGGAATTGTTGGACAGATGTTGAAGAGTCAAGTCTAGCACCCTACCTTTCGAAATGTGATCCTAACAGCTACCCAAGTATAATTAAATAAAATTACATATTTACTAGTAGCTTCGTGGTAAACGTTTATCCTAACACATTCCATGCGTGGAACTTTGATAAGGGAAAACTATATATACCTTGAAAACATACCTTGAGTGGTTTTATTCCACGAAGATTGTTGAGGTTGATAAGATCATAGAATTTGCGCATTTCCTTGATGATGTTATTAACATGAACGTGTGCCACTATTGAAATCTTCAATTTCAAACAAGAATAAAAACATCGGATCATGTTTCGTAAAAATTAAAGTGACTAAGAAAATAAAAGTAAGACTTCCAGTTACCTGTTTTCTTGATTCGGGTTCTATGAGTTTAAGAAGCAGAGTTTGTTTTTTGTCCTGAAAGTGACGGTCGTCTCCTTCTTTGACCTCTCTCTTCTCTATATCAACAAGATACTCTTTGATTCTGGGAATGCTGAAATAACTAGTACTGGGAATCACAGATTTCACTGAAAGTGAAGCCAACCCTTCCATGGTGAATTAAAATGTATGGTTTGTGTGAATGTGTGTTCATAGATCTTATGATTTGTTTGGTGTATATATAGGTGCAATCTGACAGAGGTGTGAATACAAAGTTTGGTGGCATTTAAAACTTTTGTGGGTGTTTCTTATGAAGATGAAGAGACTTTGCATTTAGGAAAATCTTGCTGGGTCAAAGAAATGGTAATTGCTGAGAAATTTCATTAAGGAAACAATTTTATAACAGATCTCTTGTATAGTTGTATGTAAAGCCCACAAAAATTATGAGGAAAATTCATAGTAAAGCACAATAAAAGGATTTGGTAATTTACTCGTTAATTCCTGGACCACACAGCTGTGAGGATCATGGTCTAAAAACGACATCATTTCACGCAATTAATTTTTTTATCCGACTCACTGTAACATGCATTTTTATAATTCATAATGTACATTATTCTAAAGAATAATGTACATCATTCTAATTCATAAAGTATTTTCTCATACCTAAAAGTTTTATTATTCTAACACATAAAGTACATTATTCTAACTCATAAAATTCAACGACGTCGTTTTGGACCACGGTCCAGACAATAGTTTATCAAATTCCTCTCTCACATATATCTTTGAAACTATCAATAATGTTGGAATTGTAAGATGCTAACTAGTTATCAAGTGAATTGCCCAAGGATTGTATACATCCATTTCAAGTATTGTAAGTTGGGAAGGAATAAAAACAAAGTGAACATCTTTCATTCTTCCATCAAACTTAAAATGAATTGCTGCAACAATTATAGACTGATATTAAATATTTAAATAGAAGGTGATAAGTTTGATTCTTAACTTAGTAATATATCAAAAAAAAAATCAATTACAATTTTCTAATTTAGTATGTAATTTTTTATTTTCAATAAATACTTTAATCAAGAACTCTACTTTTATAATGTATGATAAAAAAAAATTAATAAAATGAAAAATAATCCTACTTTTATAGTCAAAAGATGATATTATTTTAATTTATTTAAAATTAGGAAAAATAAATTGGAAATTGTTTCTTGATAAAATCATGATTAGATATGTTGACCAATAGAAGAGGAATGAAAATGTGATATTGAATTGGCATTCTCAGACTCATTCCCCTAAGATGAATCCAAAGTTGTTTTCCAATGTTATTTTATGTGTATATATAATGAAACCCCAACGTGACGGAAGTGTAAAGTTTTGGAAAGAAAGTGATAGAAAAATTTGTGAAAAATTTCTATGGTAAGATGGCCATAAATGAAGGGACCACGTGACAATAAATCTCTGTTCACAAGCAGAACCAAGTATATAGATCAGAAAGATTGGGAACAGGAAACGTTGGGCAAAGAAAGTGTTATTACTGAGAAATTTCATGAAGGAAACCCACAAGTCAGAAGTATTGGGGCAAAGGCAGGGTAATTGCAGAGCAATTTCATGAAGGAAACAAATTTATACAGTGAAACTTTCCACTCTCGCTTAAGTTCTGCTCAAAATATTGGATGACGAATTACATTAGTGGACTAGTTTCACATTGTAATATATATAGTCACCAATTAGTTAACACAAAAGTTAACTCGAAATTTTGTTACATAAAGGCCCTATTTAATAATATAGTCTACCAGTTAATTTTGACTTATTTAATCACTATTAGCTGTTTGATTTATAAGTGAGCGACTCACGAACTTGGTCAAAGCTCGGCTCGAGCTTGAGCCGAGCTCGAACTCCAATTTTTGAGTTCGTTCGAGCTCAAACCTTATCGAGTTCGAGCTCGGCTCACTCGTTTACACACCTAGCGTAGGGTAGGGGGTGTGAAGGAATGAGGTACCAAAAAGGGACTGCAACAAACTCACAGTGCAAATAGTTGCCACGACTTGGACTGCAACCGCGATTTCTCTGAAGACTTTTAAGTGAGGATTATTTGCAGATTTGGAAGACTTTTTGGGCAATTTTTAGACAGAACACTCTGAATATTAGTTGACCTTGTACATTAAGTTCTTTTGGCTGGAATCTGCTTGTATCCTCAATTTGCATTGGATCAAAGATAAGTTTTCATTACTTTTATTTCAATTCAGTCAAATTTCATTTGTGCTTTCATTATATGCAATTTAATTATGCTTCCATTTCACCAGTCTAATCACAAGTAGCTAGATCTTCTAAGGAATTTAGATTAAACTTGCTATTGTTTAGATGCTTTAATTGAATCAATTGCATCAAGGAATCTAATATGAACTAGCTAGGGTTCTTGTTGTGTATAATGACTCAATTGATCTCTTGTGTGGTCTTGGTGAAATTATGATTGAGAATTTATGGAATTGTGTTGTATCTATGAAAGTAAACACTCAATTAACCACATTACTCACAATCTTGATTTTGCTTTGAGAAAAGAGGATTAAGAGAAACTTGTAGGCTAAGTGCTTGACAAAATGCCCCAACTACCACTGAACTCCAATAGCTATGAGGATGGCATTGACACAATTGTTGCCTCTCCTTTGGCTCTTGCTAGGCCATTGCATAATCCCCAATACTAAGATCCACTGCACATTGCATCTAGGCAAGGGTTGGCCTAGTCCATCCCTCAATCCTCCAATTTACCATTGATTGTTAGTTCTATTGTTTGTTTGCTTGTTATTCGATTGTTATCATGATATTTTTCTACTTGTCAACTTGTGAGAGGTAGTTTCCAATTGTTTAACATGTCTTGTGTTTAACTTGCATGCTATATTTGACTTCGTTTTTGAGCCACTCCTAGAGAACGATATTTGATGTGAGAATACTCCTCACGCGACCTTATCTCTAAAAACATTTTGCAAATCCTCAACAAGAAATCCATGCAAGACCAATAACAATCACCATAAGTCATAGAATAACCACTTACATCTTTGATTTACAAAAAAAGCTAGCCCACAACAGAGTTGCTTGCCTACTTCCTCTTGTATAAATAATCTTGGCAAGATACTTCGAGCACCCTTAATAGAAGTCTTTTTGCACGTTATAGCTTTACCTCTGCTATAACATGGTTCTAACTATCTACACTATAATGTAATAGAAATTTCCCAATAATTTTTCAATAACTTATCTACAACCAGTACTTCTCGATCCTCACAAAAATTATAAAGAAAAGTTGAATGTGAAAAACAATAAAGAGTGTTTGGCTAATGTTGAATTTGTGACCTTCGATACTAATATCTTGTTCCACTCACTCAATCACCTCCTTCAAAGTTTATAGGTCCTTATTTAGTTTACAGGAGCATAAATCTTTTTAAGAAATATAAACTTTTCAAATTTAGTTTTTAGTTATTTTTTATCAAAATCTAAAGAATCTCATTTTCTCCCATTATTTATGTTATGTGAGATTTTCATCTTGATTATTTTTTGATGACGAGAAAAACTTGTAGTCACTACCCAAAAGTGTGTATTGAGTAAGCTCCCTGTCCTGTGATCTTAGTCGACAAAAGACCACAAGGAGATAAACCAGCCTAGTTGCCCGCTAACCAGCTTAATTCAGGAATCCCCATTCATCTTGAATTTTTAATATAGACATTCTATCAAGTGATTTCAAGATATTTTCAAAAAAAAAAAAAAGTGATTTCAAGATGATAAAGAAAAAACTAACACTCATAATACAAATATAGTGGAAACAAATTTCAAAAAAAAAAAAAAAAAATCTTGGTTATTTTTAAACAGAATACAGTTACAGCTTGCAAGACTTTACTAGCTAGATTTGCAAGAGTTGAATGCAAATTTTCCATGCATTCCAAGGACTTAATCCTAAAGTCCTAACACCTTTGTTGTCCCTACATGGGTACCTTAGGCGTCCAACACAACCAATAACCTTTACTATTTTTATTCTCGAAAGAGAATGTGATTAAGCGTATGAGCCAATCTATTGTACAACACATAATATATAAACATAATAAATGTGCAATTCAGCTATTGGTTTAAGTTTTTAGTTGGGATGAACCACATGCTTCAATTTGGTATCAAGTCAACCCATGTAAGAGGTCATTGGTTCTGATTTCTGCACCGTCCTGACCCTCACACCTGAAGGGCATCTTTTTCTAGACGAGATGAAAGCAAAGACAGATTTGAAAGTCCACAAGATTCTAGCCATCAGTGCCACAGCCAACAAAAGAAGAATGACACTGAAGGTGTACAAGCAAAACACCTGAAAGCCTGTGAAGATTTGGCCACTTGCAGTGATCACCACAAAGTGTGGAACCAGTCTCTCTAGCATCATCATGTAGCTCATAAACAAAGATGACAATACGAATAGTGAAACCGCTCTAACCCCAAAAGACCACTTGCCACTTGCCGAGCAAATCGCAAGAAAGATGGATATCATGCTAAATACAAACGCCAATGTGTTGGACAGGAGAAACCAGAAGCCTTCGGGAAGCAACCTAGGAGAGAACAAAACCTCACTAGAACGAAAGGTTCTCATCGTCGACAAGTGGTGGGAGTTCTTATCAACCCCAAATATCATGTAGGAATTATAAAGAACTGGGTAGGTAGCTCCAGCTGCGAATACCATTCCACTCATCAGAAACATAGATGACGGTGTTGGAGATGAAGTAGTCATTGCCTCCTCATTTGATGATGATCACCCTGACTGTGGATAGTTTGAAGCTGGCGATGGCACTGGCACTGGCACGTCCATGGTTTGCTTCCCCTGATCATTTAGTATTATTCTCTCTTGCATTCTGCAAGGGTTTAATGGCATTTCAATTCTAACCTCCTGCAGGAGCAACACCAGGAGGAGTGATGTCAATCTTAATTTGAAAATTTAAAAGTTTTAGTTGAGCCCGGCCGCCTAATAGGCCCGACCGACATCCAGAGGTTTTAGGGTTAGGGTCAAGAATTTTAAACCCAGCAAAAAAAAAAGCTCAAACTGATAAGTTTGACACCTTGATAGGGCTAGCTCAATTGACATCCCTAACCAGAGTATGTATTCGTATCAAAAATGTTTTTCAGAAAATAATTTAAAAAATGACTTATTTTCTAGAAAATATTATAATTTTCTGGTGTTTAGCTCAAAATTAGAAAATTATCTTTTCTGTTTGGCTGAAAGTTAATAAATTACATTATTTTCGGTTGGGTTCATTTTTCTAAAAATGAACATATTATTTGTTTATAATAATAATAATAATAATTATTATTATTATTATTATTATTATTATTATTATTAATATGTGGTGATGGTGGTGGTAGTAATAGTAGTGGTGGTGGTGGTTTGGTTGTGGTCTTAGTGGTGTGCTTGGGGTGATGCCATG